TTTTCTATGTATCCTAGTGCAAATGTTTATTTAGCGTGTATATCTATATCAGTGCTTCGCTTATGATCAGAATTGGATGTAGAGATATTTTCGTTTATTTTATGAGTATTGTAGTGCTGCGAGGGGTTATGCTGGTTGTTTGTAAACGTAACTTGAGCCTAGGAGATAGATTGTTGCAGTTGTGCTTCCCGTTTTTTCAAAATGTTTTCAGCTTGCTTAAAAGATACTTTTTCAGTGCTGCGTATATTTTCTATTTCTTTTTCCCCTAATGTATATTGAGCTGGTTTTATCTTATCCTCAGTGTGATCCGGAGCAATTTAAGCGGTGAGGGAGATTTAGGCAGTTTGCAGTTTCGTGAGAATTTTCTCCGCATTTGCCGCAGTTAACAGTTTTACAAAAATATTTGTTGAGACGATAGCGGAAACATGAAAAACAAAGCAGTGGGTTTGGTTCGTATGACCGTACTTTAACTTTTAGAAAATATAATACTATTTCTTCCGGTAGGGTGGTCTTTCAAACGTAATGATAAGGGTTGCAGTAGGGATTGTCATATTATTTACCGTTTTAAAAATACGTCTAATATTTGAGACGCCTTGAGATTTTAACTCTGCTAGGATTTCGGTGGTCTCACAGTTGATAAATTTCCTCACAGAAATAACACCTCGTGAAAAGTTAAGAGATTTGTGTAGTTCAAAAATAATAGGTAAAGTGTCAACGTTTTTATATTTTGAAGATTAATAAAATCTGTTTCCTATCAGCAAACTAGCCTAACGCACCATTTTAAGCCCCAGCGAGTTATTCAGAGGCCGTGAAAGAACAACCTCAAACCTCAACACACTACCCCAATACTTCGTCTCCAAAAAACTAGTATGTATGGGGTCCGCCCACAAACACTACACCTCTACACATTGAGGTCAAGGTTAAAGCACTAACCAGCTGCTATAGATTAATTAGTGAAGGCAGCTGGAACCATAAGTGAAATAATATAGGACACTCGAAAATTTTACATTTATTGAGTAAGGTCAACAACCAACTACTGGGTGTAAGCGATAAAAAGGTGAAAACACCTTTAGGGAAAAAGTACTTTCAGGTAGTTNCCTGGTCGCCCGCCCTGTGTAATATATATATATGGGGTCCGCCCGCCAGAAATCAGATTCGATTTTAGTAAAAAAAATTGATAAAGAATTTTGGCACTTTTGGACACAGGGTATTTCTATGAAATACCTGGAGCGTATGAATATCAAAGATATTTTCATCTCCAAGTCTCATTCTGAACTAATGGCGATAAATTATGAAATTATTGTACCCATGGGGGCCACAATGATAAAAATTGCCATAGGCAAATGGGAAACCAACATCGAAATTCTAATTCTAAAAGAATTGCCAGTATCACTTGTTCTGGGCCTAGATTTTTTAAATTTAGCTAAATTGGTTATTTCACCTAGCAAAAACTGTGTATGGTGAAGAAAGGACCCATGCGCTAAAACTGAATTTCAGGAATCATCAGCGATCTCCAAATTTAGCGGTTTTCTCTCCAGAGACGGGTTCATGGCTTAGATATTTCAAGTACAAATATCTATCCAAATATCCGAACGTATAACCTATCGACTTGGCCGAACAGAGGTGATGAATGTAAAACTAAACATTAATGATGACAAAATCGTCAGAGCTCAGCCGTATTACTGTAATCCAGTACGAATGAAGAAGATGAGGATGGCGGTTGAGGAACTTCTCAAAAAAAAAAAATTTCTGGAGTCAGTTATCTTTTTGCAAAACTGAGGCACCTGAAGTCAATGTACGCGCCCATGTAACTCAGTTAAAAAGAACCAGCTAGCCATTCTCTNAAAAATATAAAATATAAGTAAATAAATAAAAAATCCAAAATTGAATAACAGTAATAACAATCAAAACTCTAGACAATGAAGGAGAGGACAAGCATTTGATAAATTCCAAATTCCCTACTTACTTTATTATCCTTTACACTTTTCCTCCAGAATACCTCTACCCAAGTCCTAACTGGCCATAATGTTTACCAACATATCATACTGAGAATCTTTTGGAAGAAGAGCTCTACCTAATCTCAGCAAGTATTCAGCGATGCAGAATATTCTCCAAACCTGGCTGAAACTCTTCGAGGAAAGCGAATCCAAGCGGACCTCAGGACACGACTGCTGAAGAAGGAGGAGACCAACAAAGGAGTCTCTCTGGAGACCTCCTGAACACTGGATGGACATTCACATCACAACTTGGTACCCTACTACACCCAGAGGGACTCAACCCAGAAGCTTCTCAGATGCTCTTCTTCAGTTTTATTTTATTTGCTCTTTATTTCTTGTCCAACGTCCTTTTATGTAATTTTTTTTTAATTTTTTCTGAGAGAAGAAAATTTTGTAAGATCAAATAGTAACATGGTGGGAGGTGTCCCACCAAGGTGTGATAAGATAAGGAAAAGTCAGTTGGGTTTGCGTAGTTGGTATCGGATTTATAAAAGCCTGTAAGTTGATGCTTTCTTTCTTTCGCTCTTTCCTTATTTTCTCTCATAGTAATTTTTGTCAAGAGTTTGTATTCTGTTTTATATTGCTCATAGATATATCTATTATTTTTTAAATTTTTATTTTAGAAGATAGTTTATTATTGTTTTAATTATATTGATTTTCACCCTTTTTTATTTAATTTATTATCCTCACAAACCCAAACCGTGTGAGAAATCAATTTGGCTTCCGAAAAGGCATGGTACTGTCGATATGTGTAATGATAAAATGTGTAAACTCTAATTTGGAAAAAAAAATCAACACGTACAAATTCTGACCACTGACCTCAGTAATGCTTTCGACACAGTGAATCATTCTGTTCTGTTTGACATAGGCTTATGGAGTAAGGAGTACTGCCCTTGACTTCTGCAAAAATTTCCTATTAAATAGATATCAGTGTGTTAAATGAGAAAATTTAATGTCACTAAAACTATTAGTAGAAGCATGGTGTGGCTCAAGGCATTGGTCCTGATATAGAAAATAATTTCATTATCTATCAGTTTGCAAACGATGCACCTATGGTGATAACTGCAGATGACATTATTAACCTTCATTGGGTTATCACTTCTTAAAAATCGTGACTAAATGGTTTGAAAATAATTATTTGTCAATGAATGAATTCAAATCAAAAGAAATGATAATGTCCTTTAACTATAAATGACACCCACAGCTAAATACTTGTAAAATATTAGGGACCATTATTGATAGTCACTAATCATGGTGCCAGCACGTTGACCATAGTGTCAGTAGGTTGTCTTCCCTTTGTTTTCTAATGTTAAAAATTCGGAGTACCATCTCACTTGAGGTGCGCCGGATAACATACTTTGCACTTTTCCAAGGAGTCATGCATGAGCCATGAGTTGCTAGTGTGGGGAAGCAGTACTCATGTAAAAGATGTCCTCATTATTCAAAAAAGATGCGTAGAAGAAGAACAATGTTCTATCTGGAAAGAAATCTCATCTAACATACGAAAGCTTTGAGTTCCTCACCGAAACTGGAATGACAAATAAATTCTGACATACCAAGAGTAGGAGAGTAGATAGCTTTGTTCAGGGAAGTGAATGAAGCACCTGTCGATGTCCTAGCCTCTCCTTACCCATCTCATTTTCTTGTATAGAATCAAGGCATTTTTTGACCCATCGTAGTTGTATACCATTAAAACATTCCTGACATTCCGTGGAAGCCTAATATTGAATACGAATAATATACCCTAATGCTCTGATAACCCCTATGTGATAGATATGTTTAAGTAGATCCAGTCCTTGAAATTAAATAGCAGGCCTGATATTGGCTATATATTTTCTCTTATTGATTTAGTACAACTTTTTCCAAATTACCGTTTAATTTTTACCGATGGATCTAAACTGAGAGGTGTTACGGATAGCGCTTTTTACGACAATCAAAGTAAATACCGCGAACGATATATTCTTCCATCCTTATGCATGCATTTCTCCATTTTCAACCAAAGTTATTGCTATCCAAAAAGCGTTATAGTAGGCTGCTAATCTATCTTCCAATCATAAATTCAATTTGTTGGTAGATAGGGGAGTGCGTATGAAAATGCCCAAAAACCAATAACAGTATTACATTAAAAAATTATTCGTGCTATGTTGTTTAAACACCTTTATTTGAACACTCCCTCCGAATGCCAAATTTTACCTGTACCTTACATTTACTTTGTTTTAAACTTTTTACAAATTATATGGACGAAAATAAAAAAATAAATATAATATGAAATGTCTTGTAAATAGCTTGTTACCCCAACCATAATTAATATTTATGTTGAATTGTTTTCTTTGTGTAGGCTATAAGTGGTTATATTTGGTCCCCAATGAGACTGAATGTGTAGTAAATCAAAAAACATTTTTTTTAAGTGTTGGCACTTCGAATAAATGGCTAATAACAGTAACGAAAATTAGTATCTTCTATTTAAAAAGGAAAATTCTTAATTTTCATGTTTGTTTAATTCATTCTTACAACTTGTAGCTGTTATTATTACCAATTTTGTTTCTCTCCACGTTGGCATTTTTTTCTCTCCATTCCAATTTTTCCCTCAGCCCATTTTTTCTCATTGCACTAACTTCAGTGAGGGTGTCTCAGAGAAAGTGCGAAAAAAAATTTTAGGTGATCATACACCCTATTTGCAAACAACTTCCAGCGTATAGTCGCTATACCTATCACCAAACCCTGACGAGTTACGATTTGTTCTTACTTTTTCATGAAAATGTTACTTACTTGAAACTTTTTTTCTGTATTATGTATTAGCCTAATAAAGTTGGAGAAAAAATACATATCAATACTCTAGACTTCAAAGATAACACAAATGTCACATAGCGATATAAACAAATTATGAATTTACAAAAAATAATCTAGAAAAAGAAAATAAATGTTTTCAAAACACAACTATTAGTTTCATTCCCAAATAATTAAATTTATGCTATTTTAATTAAATCAAAATAGAATTGTTACCTTGTCCTGCAGGAGGAGTAGGCAGGAAATGCTTCAGTTGCGCCTTTTTCCAGGTGTCGCATTTCTTTCTCAACTCCAATAGGAATCTGATATTAGATCGGATTGTGGACTGCGTTACATTTTCAACATTGCCTGAAACTTAGGAAAACAAAGCACAATAGTTACGCAGTGTTTTCAATCTTTCAATTGCTTCTAAGTTGAACTAGAGTAATTAGCAGGTTCCTAGCAAGTTTACAAGAATATTACAACGAAATTCGAACATATTTTACTAATTTAGTTGGATTGACGACTGTTCAAATTTAAGTTGTGAGGATGGGACTTTCGGTCAGGTTTTTTGGTAGTAAGGATGAATATTATTCCATAATTATCGATTAACGGTCACTAATCACCACACATTATTCCATAAATGCCAACGTTTCGATTTATATTTATAAATCATCTTCAGGGCTGCCTGTACATACATGGTTACATTTTAAATTAACAAAATTAATTTAACAGAATGACATATGATTAAAAGAATACCAGTGTGAACTTATAGGCTGATAATCAGTTATCATCCTAGTTGAAATAAGTCTTTAACATCATAACAAATATTTTCTTTTTTTGACTAGGCTTTTCCGTGTAAACGGTGATAAACTATAATAGTTTTTAGAAGTGATTTACAAGAGCTAATTGTACTTTAGGAACAATGCCATGGGAAAAGATGCTATTCAAAACTGAAAGACCCCATAGAAAAAGAACTACAATCTGGCCTGGTGTATAGAATACCATGTGCGAATTATGAGGGAGTTTATTATGGTGAAACAGGGCAACATTTAGATAGAAGAATTTACAAACATAAATATGCTATAAGTAACAACAAAGTAAATGTCAGCGCATTGGCACACCATGCCCTCACAATGGGACACAACATTAATTTTAATCAATTAATTATTATTTATGAGAGGTATTGGTTGAAATAAAAATAAATATTAATTAATTGAAAAATGTTAATTGGTCAATCGGACCACGAACTGTAATGGAATTAATGTTAATGATGTAAAAATAATGAAAAAAGAAAGTAACACCAAAAAAAGTAAGTTCCTAGAAGCAACATTCATCAAAAGTGATATACACTCAATCAATTTCAAACAAGATTGCCAGTTTATTAATGACTGTTACCAAAGCCTAATTAAAAAATGAAACATTGTCTAGTCCATTGTAAACACTCACACATATGTAAAATAAGTATATGAAAAACTAGTTATAGATTAATTTAATAAGTATAATAGTTTTAAAAAACTTTCTCTGGAAAATTGTTAATAAATAAAGGGAAAAACTACACGTATTAAAAGGGCAACACTGACTGATAGTGTTAGGATTTTCATTTTTATTTTAAAGAAACGCCCGCCAAATTTGTTCATTATTTATATATTATTCTATACCGGGAAGCCCGGTCCCCTCTCCTGGTGCGACTCTCCAGTCGCTTTTACGACCGAGCCTAGTTCGTTTCAGCACGTGCCGCTTCATTTTTTTGGAACCCACAAAGGCCTTAATACAAACCGCTTTCTGTAAGATCTCTTCTAGTATTCCTTGGAGTTCTTCTAGATTGATTTTACACCTCACCAAAACGCCGGAGTTGTTGGTACCTGTAAGTGGGCCGTCCTACCCAAATACCCTCTTTTTCATCGCTCCTGGGTCCTTCTATTTCCTGCCCACCTTTTATTGTTTGCCACAACAACAGCTTGGTGAGTCTCTTATTATTTCATTTGTTCTTTATTTTTACATTTCAATCATTCTTTTTTTAAACTGTTATATTTTATTTATTATTGTTTCACCGCCACTCGGTTAAATCCGGGTGGTTCTCCGACGGCTAAAACCGTACATTTGGTCCTCGTGGGACGGATAGAATTTATTTTAAATTAATTGCATTGTAATTGCGTTGCGTACAGCTCGTGCTGACTCGAACCTGTGTATACTTCCGCCTACCTGCTCGCTCTCGGTAGCTCACAGGCTTGCTGATTCATTAACTTTTATAAATTTAAAATTAACTTTTTCTATACACAAGACGTCGAAAGCCGTCACGATTAAACTTCGAAAGAAACTGAATCTTTTAGGGGCAAAAAAAGAATGTATCTTTCAAAAAGTTCAAGTAATGTAGGAAGACGCTAAAAATATTAATTATAAAGAACGGGAAAATAGCTCTAAAGTATGGGTTAGATAATTGGGAACCACAGTCGCGGATTTCAATAAGCGTCCACTAAATTGGATTTAGACCCCGAACAAAGCCGAAGTAGATTTGAAGGCGGTTGCAAAAAGGAGGAGCTACGTTGCTGTATTGTGCAGGGGGTGGAGGAACTTCCTGGCGTAAAGATGGATTTGAAGACAACCGTGGTTGGTAAGAATAGTTCAACGGCCCCTTCAATTAAATTACTGCGTTTAGAATTGCTGCACTTTTCAGGGAAATTTAATGATTGGCCTTTTTTTTATCAAAAAACGAACAGATCTTGCGGTCTGATAAATTGCGCTACCTCATAGGCAAGCTAGAGAAAAAAAAGCTTTAGCCCTACTTTCTGGCTTCCAACCTTATGAAGAAAATTATGAACTAATTTGGAACAGATTGGTAGAAAAATTCCAAGATAAACGCAGTCTGGGAAGTCATTATTTGAAAACTATGAATGATATGAAACCCGCCCCAACCGAATCCGCTAGAGGCCTAGACAATTTTGTGATCCAATTAAGATCTTCCGCTGAAGCCTTAAAATCATTAAAAATCGCGATCTTTCAAACTTTATAATTTTATACATCGCTCTTCAAAAACTCGATCCTGAAACAGTTAAAGGTTTTGAACTGTCTGTGCGTGAGCAAGATATTCCCACTTTCGACTCCCTTTTTCAGTTTGTAAAAGAAAAGTCAAAAATTTTGAATCGCCAGTCTAATCAAGTCGCAAAAACAGGAAGATAGTAAAGATATATAGTAAGGTTCCAAAGTTAAATCCTTCGGACACATTCGTTGTACACAACGACGTAAACAACACACCTCTCTGTAAGATTTGTTCAAAACAACAGCATCACGTTATTTATGCCCAACCTTTCTTACCCCGGAAGAAAGATTTATCTTAGCAAAAGATAAAAAGTTGTGTATCAATTACTTATCCCAATGTCATCAGACATGGAAATGTAAGTCTAAAATGTCCTGTAATGTTTGTCAAATAACATCACTGTACCTTACATTTCACTCGCCCAGTGTACCCTTCTCCTCAGCCCGCTAGTACGTCCATAATTCCCGAAGCAATCTTCAGTGCTCTACTTCTAGGGGAACTTTAATTGACTACGCTCCCGCACAGGTATTATTGTCGACCGCTTCAATTCTTGCCTACGATAAGCACGGTAATACTCACCTTTTACGAGCGTTGTTCAAACGAGGGTGTAGGTTGATTTATCTATCATAAAGTTTGTTTATTTTGTTTTCAAGTTTTTATTTTCCAACGTTTACTCAACTGCAACGGATTTAAGTTTATGGGGGTTACTTACTTTGGTTTCTCTACACCCACTTTACTTGGTATAAGAAAACCTAGTGCATCATTTTCAAAAAGGATATGTGACGATGTGATCTTGATAGTATCAGCTATTTCTGTTACGGCTTTGCTCTTAATAAATGCTATGCTTTTTGAGGGATTTATGAATCTCTTAGTTTGCCTCATGCCGGATTCTTCTTGTACTTGCCTTTTTCTTTCTACAGCCGGTTTTACAGCTTGCTGGTGTGCATACGTGGGTAGCGTTTCCAAGGGTTTGAAAACTGGCCACCGGGTACTTTCCTCCAGTGCTTGATTTTTCGTTCTCAAGACATTTTTCCAGCTCTATATTTTTGGTTACTCCCTGGTTCCGGTTACATGGGTTATAGGGCTGTTCATTCGTTCTAGTCCGGCAGCCTGTGAAAAATTTTGGCAGATGCATCATCACGCATAGACAAAGTTAACGAAAAAAATACAAAATCTCTGATTGAAAGTTGGTTAAATTTTATTATGTTTTTCTTCCTCGCCGTTAAGGATCATTTTGCTAATACTTGCTGGTTTGTTGAGATATGTCATCCATTATCGCCAATTTCAGTGTGTCTGTGTGATTTCTGTAGATCACATATCTTTTGTAATCGTGGAGTGGGTAGGACAACGTTATCTTTGTTTATCCGGGCTTTTCGTGGACTAACTCTTCGTTTATCGTTCCGGTCGGTCTTTGGGATTTCTGTCATTTTAGGAATGGCAAAATGATTGGTAACAACCAAATAATAATAGCTCAGTTGTTTCAGGTCATTTTAGCATTTTTGCCATCCTTTTTTAAAAGATAGTTCCTATTCCCAGTAAGTTGTTTTGCACCCAGATTTTATGTAAGAGGAAGTAATGTTATTGATTGTGTTATAATCCATTAATGCTTTGACTAGCAAATTAATGGAAATAATAAATGATGGAGTGAGTATGGTGTTCAATCCTTTTTAGAAGGATAGTTCCTACTCGCAGTAAGTTGTTTTGCAATTTAATGGAAATGATAAATGATGGAGTGAGTGTGGTGTTCAATCCTTTTAAAAAGATAGTTCCTACTCGCAGTAAGTTGTTTTGCAATTTAATGGAAATGATAAATGATGGAGTGAGTGTGGTGTTCAATCCTTTTTAAAAAGGAACTATCTTTTTAAAAAGGATTGAACACCACACTCACTCCATCATTTATCATTTCCATTAAATTGCAAAACAACTTACTGCGAGTAGGAACTATCCTTCTAAAAAGGATTGAACACCATACTCACTCCATCATTTATTATTTCTATTAATTTGCTCTTGGCATTTTCCGTGAGCTAGGTCTGTGTTAGTCAGGTGTATAAAAAAGGTCAGTGTCACGAGCGGGATTCGAACACACGACCTTCGACTAAATACGCCGCTGCTCTACCACTTGAGCTATCGTGACTTCAAGTAGCAGAGCAGCGGCGTATTTAGCCGAAGGACGTGGGTTCGACACTGACTTTTTTATCTCAACCAATACCTTACATAAAGATTAATTAATTGAAAAAAGTTGGTTAAGTTAAAAAATAATTAGTCAATCGGAACACGAACTCTAATGGTTATAAACAAGGTAAGGCAAGGCATCAATCTATTAACGACCAAACAACAG